CTAAAGCTTCCTCCGGGCGGTGAACATTAAATTTCTGCGTCAAACTTCATTCGCGAACGAGGAAAAGTGTTTCTCGTTATACAAGTTTATGATCTCTATCGAACTACGCTAGAATCAACTCTTCATACCAAAAACTGAAATTTTTCTTGAAATTTTAAAAATAAGGCAGAAAACCTGAAAAAAACTTCAGAATTTTTTTGATCAAAAACTATAAGTCCGAGAACCGTTAAACGGTTAGAATTTATTTGCTAAAACTGTAGTAAAGTACGTTATTTTATTATTTATTTGTTCCTCTTTTTCGTGTTCTGTATACTCAATTTTCTATCACCAATATAACAGGTTCGTCGTTATACATGTTGTTCTGTCTTTTCTTTTTTTGTAATTGTTCTTCGTATATTCTCTTATTTTTGCAAGCGCTCCAGAGTGTGGTCAATAAACCCTGGCATAATCAAAAAAAAAATTATGTAGATAAGAGGTATATTTGCATAAAAGGGTTATTCTTTAAAAATGTTCTGTGTCTAAACGCCATGTTTTTTCCTTACTGTGGATGATGACGTGTTGAAAATGTATCCCACTTATGTCAGTGGTAGTATAGCTGAAACATAACTCTTCTCTCAAGATATTGATTTTATGTTTGAAGAGGTGAATTAAATTTCGAAAATGAACTTATACCAACTGATAATGATCCATATGTTCAAATTAAATGGAATAGTGAAAAGCTATCTCATTTACCCTACGGTTACACTGATCAGCTATGTTGTGTGAATGGATTTAAGATGAAGCAAAATTATTGTAATATTGATTAAACCACTCTATGGTTCTTATCGGCTAATAATGATGTTTCAGTGAATAAAGCAAATACTTTACGTTCGCTGTTAATTAAGTATATTACTTTTGAAGAACTTAACCAAAGATTTAGACAAGGTTTACATGTGATTGAATCACAATCTCGAACTAAATATAAAGAAAATTTTTTTACTCTTCATGCTGAATTGGATAAATATTTTAAGAACATAATCGAACAAGAACCAATGATGGACAATATTCCAACAAATATATATATCCAAAATGTATTTGAAAGTCTATTTCATTTTATGGGGCTAGCATATGGTGTGTATTTCCCGGTTGAACACAAGTAACAGATAAACGAATTATTCAATTTCTATTATAAAATATAAACATTTGAGTAATTCAAACATAAGCCGAGAAATTATTAAGGAAGTTGTGAAAAAAATAGCGTTAGAATTATGTTTTTGGTCAAATAATGTTCAACCATTTTTTTGAAACGTTTTCAGTTATCGAATCAACCAATTAAATTATATGAGAAAATAAGACTTGTTCATATGCATGTGGTACCAAAAAGTGTAAAAATATCAACTACAGCCGAATATGAATTTCGTTATTCCTTTTCAGCTATCGAACGTTTATTAGCACAATCAAGAACGTCTAAACAACGAATATTGAATGGTATTGCACGACGTATCTACTACAAATACTTACAACATCAAACGAGTTTATAACTATATTTGATTAAGACAATTGCATTATGGATGTGTGAAATGGATGATGATTTTAGTTATGGAAACGCTGATGATCAGTATGAAGAAATGAAATAATTGGTACACAATGGATAACGTATACATGTAATATATTACGTTCTCGTATATGTAAACATTATTTCATTGATCATAGTAACATTTTAGAAACTTATACAACAGAAACATTAGATGAAACATGCAAAATTTTAGAAAATATTGATTTATTTGAAATAAATCAAACACCATTAAAAAGAACCCCGTACGATATTGCCACTAACTGTTCGGAAGATATAAAACAATGGATTGGTAAATTGAATTTGAAAGATGTTCAGAATGCAATTCATGATTTTACTAACTGGAAGTTGCAATTATTTTCCCAGCCATTATTTGTACGTAATGCAATTTATGAGATAATAATAGTATTGAATGCATTGACTCTATTGGATGGTGATCGAGAAGAAAATAATTTATCAGTTTGGAAACGTTTATTTTTGGATACAGATAATGATGAGAGAGAAGATGGAAATATTGAAAATAGACGAAGTGAATGGTCAATGCTGCATCCGTCACATATAATTGATGGTCTATCATCAGCGGCAATATTTATGAAATGGATGAAGGATATTGTTACAAGTGCGTCGAACTTAAATTCAATTAAAAATTCAACCTTAGATTTATTCATTCGAGTATTACATATCATGAATAAAACAAAAATATTTAAGCTGAACAAAGGTGAGCGGATTAGTTTGTTTTTACCAAATGATGTAAATCCTTATTATCAACAAACACCAACAAGTCCATCGATTATTGACGATTCGCATGCAAATGGTGGCACACAACTGATAAATCTAATTAAAAAAATGTATGAGATTAGTACGATACCACGATCTATAATTTCAGCAATATCAATGATTTCAATGAAGCTGGGCTCATCTCGGATCAGAGGTGTAACCTGTATCAGAAATGCGATACCAGTACCGGTCACCGGTATACAAACTTCGTACCGGTACCGCCTTGTCTTGACCATATTTTGCCTAAATACAAATAATTTTTCCTTGTTTTTCCTTACTGTGAACTTTATTTTATGTTATCAAAGGGATCGATAGATTAACCGATCGGCGTTTTTATAATTTGTACCGGTACCGTTTGCACCTCTGCGGCGGATACAATGCCATTGATACGACGGTTCCATCTCTTGACACAAAAACTAGATAGGTTTACAAAATGATTCACTCTTCTTTTGTAATGATCCATTCGAACGTTCAAGGCGGACAGGCGTTTTACCCTCGAAATCGATTTAAGATCACTTCTTAATTCAGCTTTTGATGCTGAATAAGAAAAACATACCTTGAACGTTGCGACTAGAAATCCAAGTCGAAAAATCTAACTTTTTCGAACATCATCGTTTTTTCGTATTTTTACAGCCTTGGAGTTTTTTTAATTTTTCGAACCGATAAAACGATCAGAACAACTCCAGACGCATATATGAGCGAATTGTAACTTTTCTGTACAATTACATTTTTTACGTATTTTTACACTCATTTCCGTTCCTATGAACCGATTTCTAACAGTTTTTTTTATTCTCTTACCTACGTTTTGGCTCACACACCACAGAAAATTTTGCATTTTATCAACTCACTGAGATGTGTGGGTCGAAAGTCAAAAATACCCATTTTATCGATAACTCATCCACGGAAAATGGTTTTTTTTAAGGAAAGAAAGAAAAATGAAAAAAAAAGTAGCACGTTTGGTAGAGCTAGCGATTCTCTATCCAACCATATGATTTACTTCTGGTTTTGTTTACGTTTTCCTTCTCATACATGCACAAAACACTTTTACTCACAAATGAAGCTACAAATCAGAAACGGTTCACGCAATTTAAGGAAACATTTTTCATAAAAATAAAATGACCAAAAGATAGAGTGTAAAAAATGGTTAAAGAAGTGTTTATAGTTTTCGCGTAGAGTCTCTTTCGAATAGCAAAAACATGTGAAAACGATTTTCCACGCACTTTGAAACTACCAATTTTCCAAATTGTTTCCTCTATAAGTCTCACAGGACTGATCCAATTCCACTCAAACTTTTACCATAAATAGTTTACAGGATCTTCTAGGAATGACTGAAATTTCATCTTTGTATCTTTCTATTTTCTTATGAAATTTCACATTATACCGAAATGAAGCTACACAAATTTTTGAAGCTACCAATAAACGTGAAATGCCGTAGATACAACGAATTTCGATCGAAACGTGATTAGCTAGGTGACAAAAATTGAGGTCTGTAATTTACGACTGCATAAGTCCAAGCAATGAAGTCCAAGCTTTGAAAGACGTGTAGTTGCACAAAATTCAAAAGTTCCTCAGCATTTGTAGTTAGATAACCAAAGTGAAAGTGCCTCAAGACAGGTTGTTAAAAATATCCAGTGTATTGATGCTTTGGCATCTGTGGAACGTTTTTCCGTAATACCGACGGTTACTGACCGGTCTATAGATCACCACTGCTTAACCGTATCGTTCGGTATAACTACTGGTTTAGTGACGATGTTTTCTTCTACCGGCGGTTACCGCACGCTATGTTTTCAGACCGTGGTACTAGAAAAAAGCGTCGGTAAACCGTTTTGACACATTCGCCTATTTGTTCTGCCGTTGGCAGTCTATATGCGAAACGCAGAAAAGTCAAACAGCTTTGATTTCTTAATTTAAATTTAAATTAAACTTTCTCTTTCAGATTGTAGAGGCTCGTCGAAATTTGCACTTCGACTTGAGTCAAGTTTTTCCCGTTCGCGTACCTCATTGTGCTCCATGCGCCCTGCAAAACACACAAAAAAAAGAAAGCTGAGAACTGGATTCGAACTCTTGTACTGTTTGTTCCAACTAATAAAATACAGGTTGATACCAGAGCGATAACCGGAAATATGAGGTCGTCATCAGAATTTAGCAGGATTAGTAAGTTCTTAAAATCATATATGCTTAACGAGTGAGTAGAACAAGTAACTGAGAATGCAATGGCTTGCTATAACATCGTAAGTTAGACCAGTGTCTTGGCTCTTTCTCAAATATGTGTTGCCTAATAATCAAACTGCTAAAATACTCCAAAGCGTCCCGGTTGACTTAAGCTCTAAAATAGAAAAAGAATATGTAAGTGTATAAATGAAACAGAAAAAAACAAATATTGGTGATATGTTCTATCACAACGAAATTAATCAAAAAAACGTTGATTTCAGTTGCTAAAAACTGTGAATGATAGCCGATTTTTAACGGGAAATGATTGGTTTTAATGCGCTTTTTTTCTCTGACATAAAGACATAGGCAGTGGAATTTCAAATCTTTGAACTGTTTGAAGCACACTCCGTGGCAGTCTAAAGATTTCGGTCTACATATCACCTCATATTAATTTCACAAAAAGCGAAATAGTAAAAAATGTATTTATTTCAAAAAGACGAAAAAAAAGTCAAATAACGTG